GTGTGCCAGCTGAAGGTGGCAGGAAAACATGAATGGAAGTCCAAGTTAAAGCCGGTACAGTAAGTATGGGCTCACATTCCCAACGAGAACATTCAGGAGAAAGATGAGGAACAGGTGCTAAGATCTAAGCCCGTTAATGATCATGTCTTCAGAGCTCGATGCTGATGGTTTAATGCTGGATCTCCTCTGATGGTACAGCTGCAGCTAACGAGGACAGAGTCTGTGAGTCCACTTAGGTCTGAGTGATGAACGTGTCATCGGAGGTTCAGGCCTGCTCTTTGTGACCGTGTGGAGCCAAGAACAAGCAGACCTGGCCCCCTAACCCCTGTTGGTATTTAATGAGGCCCACCTACTACCAAAGACTAAGTGATGATGTGAGCTTGATCGGAGGAGCCTATCAGGTAACGTGTTTAGCATCAGGAAACACTGGTTACAGTTATGCTCAGAGAGACAAATAGAGGCCAGTGTAATGAACAGTTAATAATAATAATAAATTTTATTTATATTTCAAGACACCCGAGGACACTGTACAATAGATAAAAACACATGATAGAACAATGACACAAAAGCACAGGATAAAAACAAACAGTGTGTTCACAGTGAACATGCAGATTTGAACAGATGGGTTTAGAGTTGGGATTTAAACTGGGGGAGAACCAGTGTTTGTTATATCTGGGGGCAGAGCAGCTGAAAGCTCTGCTTCCCATGGTGCTGAGGCGGAAAGAAGGTACAGCAAGCTGGATAGAAGAAGATCGAAGTGAGCGGGCAGAACAGGTGGTGGTTAACAGGTAAGAAAGGTAAGGAGGAGCGAGGTTATGAAGGGCCTTGAAGATGAGCAGAAGAAGTTTGAATATTATTCAGAATTTCACAGGAAGCCAGTGAAGCTCCTGAAGAACAGGTGATGTGCTGGTAGGAGGGGATCTGGTGATAGGGCGGGCAGCAGAGCTTTGAACCAGCTGAAGCTTATGGAGGGATGTTTGGGGGAGACCATGCAAGAGAGTTGCAGGAGGTAACAAGACTGCAGACAAGAATGGACGTAGACTGGGTGGAAAGTGAAGGACGCAATCTGTTAATGTTGTGTAGATGGAAGTAGGCAGAACGGGTGAGATGATGTGAGATGTATAGGAAAGTGAACTGTCTAGGATGACACCAAGGCTCTTAACCTGAGGAGAAGGGAAAACTGAGGAGTTATCGATAGTGAGAGAGAAATGGTTTGCCTTCAAAAGGTTGGATTTGGTGCCAATAAGAAGGATCTCAGTTTTATCCTCATTGAGCTTCAGAAAATTACAGCTAAACCAGGATTTTAACTCGGATAGACATTCTGTAAGGGAGGAATCAGGTCTGCAGGAGAGATACACGGGTGTCATCAGCAAGGAGGATGTAGAGGGAGGATGTATATTATAATGAGAAGAGGGCCTAAGACTGAGCCTTG